TCTTAAATTACAGTTTTATGTAAATATTCAAAAACATTAAACCAACTGATGCCTCAATTAATGTAATTTTATTGATATCTATTTTTATTTTGAAATTTACCCATAGCTGCTGCATTTCCCACCCTTGGCTTATACTTGAGTCCATATGTTTTCCCAGTTTTTTGTGGTAAAATTAGGTTCCTTGGCTTATATTTGGGTCGGCTTTGAGGCTGTCCAAGTCTGAACCGGTGCTTGGCCGCTATAATGGACTGGATGAGGGACAACAGATTGAAACTAAATCCAGACAAGACAGAGGTACTCCTGGTCAGTCGAAAGGCCGAACAGGGCATAAGGTTACAGCCTGTGCTTGATAGGGTTACACTCCCTCTGAAGGCGCAGGTTCGCAGCCTGGGAGTGATCCTGGACTCATCGCTGAGCCTGGAGCCCCAGGTTTCGGCAGTGGTCAGGGGAGCTTTTGCACAATTGAAACTTGTGCGCCAGCCGCGCCCGTACCTTGGGAAGTCTGACTTGGCCACGGTGGTCCACGCTTTGGTTACATCCTGTTTAGACTACTGCAATGCTCTCTACGTGGGGTTGCCTCTGAAGACTGCCCGGAAGCTGCAGCTAGTCCAACGCTCGGCAGCCAGACTACTAACGGGTGCTGGGTACAGGGAGCACACCACTCCGCTGTTACACCAGCTCCACTGGCTGCCAATTAGCTTCCGAGCACAATTCAAAGTGCTGGTGTTAACCTATAAAGCCCTAAACGACTCTGGCCCTGTTTACCTCTTACCCCTATAAACCATCAAGATTATTAAGATCGTCTGGGGAGGCCCTGCTCTCAGTCCCACCGGCCTCGCAAGCGCGTCTGGTGGGGATGAGGGACAGGGCCTTCTCGGTGGTGGCCCAACTCTGGAACTCTCTCCTACTGGAGATCAGAACCGCCCCTTCTATCCTGACATTAGGAAACAGGTGAAGATGTGATTATGGAGACAGGCATTCGACGAATGAGCCAACACCCTGAGATATGGATGGAGGATGATGAACGATTTTAGTGTGATGACTGACCATTGTAGTTATTGTATGTAATTGCTCTTTTAACGTTTTACTGTAATATGAATTATGATGTTTTATTGACTGTATGTGATATTATGGTTGGAAACCGGTCTGAGTCCCTCAGGAGAGGTGAGAAGGTCGGTATACAAAATTTTTAAATAAATAAATAAATAAATAACTGTCATGATTTAATAAAAGCAAGATTTAAGTTATTTTATCTTTTTTTCTTCTTCTTCTAGGAGTCTTTCAATAATGTAAAACAGTGGCTGCAAGAAATAGATCGTTATGCCAGTGAAAATGTCAACAAGTTGTTGGTAGGGAACAAGTGTGATCTGACCACAAAGAAAGTAGTAGACTATACAACAGCAAAGGTATGTCAATTGACCTGTTTTAAAATAACAAAAAAAAAACCCCAACATCCTCTAGCTTCTTCAATATGATTGTTATGGGCTGAGTGGTACACAGTTGCAATTGTTAGTATATAAGGCATGTGAAGGAGACATAATCAAAAGAATGGTGGCATTGGTGCATGTATGTATGTGGCTAAACAGGTTCATTCTCATTCTTTTTGGGGGTAATGTGAATAACAGTGCTATGGTTTTTTCTACAGGAATTTGCAGATTCGCTTGGGATTCCATTTTTGGAAACCAGTGCAAAGAACGCAACAAATGTAGAACAGTCTTTCATGACCATGGCTGCTGAGATCAAAAAACGAATGGGTCCTGGAGCAACAGCCGGCGGTGCAGAGAAATCCAATGTCAAAATCCAGAGCACTCCAGTCAAGCAGTCTAGTGGAGGTTGCTGCTAAAACTCTCCTGACCATTTGTTTCTCAACAGTGAGTTTGAAATCTGAACCCAACTGAAAAAAATTGCCTGAATTGTACTGTATGTAGCTGCACTACAAACAGATTCTTATCGTCTCCACAAAGGTCAGAGATTGTAAATGGTCAATACTGACTTTTTTATTCCCCCCCGACTCAATAAAGCTAACTTCATTTTCAGAAATGTGTTAAACCTTTTTGTGTGCTGGTTTATAAATGCGTGTAATCTTTGTTGCTTTTTTTTTTCTTATACCAGATTGTTTCCTGTGGTTGGTTAAACTTGGAATATTTTTTTTTGGTTTGGTCATAATGGCATGTTTAGATGTCAGGTTTAGTCTTCTGAAGATGAAGTTTAGCAATTTTTTGTATTCAACAGCACAACTGTGTCTGTCACTTTTTCTCATGCATAAAGTTCCATAAGATGTTCTATGTAAGATCTAATTTGCTAGTTCCTCGTAGAGTTATAATTGGAAAGATTGCATTCTGGCCAGGATCCAAAGAGCTATGTTCTGGGCATCCAAGGTGGGTTTGAGTTCTCCTTGAACAGCCCCTCCATGGTAGATCTCTTCTGAATCGAAGGAACATTTCAAAGGGAGTAGGGTTGCCCTTTAGAGGGAAGTCGCAACCCCATAGTAGCTCTTTGGATCCCAGATCCTGGTTTTTCTTTATACTCTACATATAATTTGTGGCTGCGGAATATTGTAATTTGTTGCACAATATGTAACAAACAGAAGAAATGTTTAATAAATATTGTACTTACTGGAAGTAATATCCAACTGTATGGTGATAAGTATTGTCTTAATTCTTTTGGCGAAAGGGGAAAGGCTTGCATTGTGCCCCCAATGAACCCTTTTTGTGTGCAGAAATGGCACTTTAGAACTTTTTTCCTGGACCATACCCTCCCATCCCAGCAAATGAATAACTAGCAGGTATGGCCTCGATGATTTCATTCTCACCGTGTTTCTGGCATGTATGCTATACTCGGAACACAATTTGTAGAATTATAACCCCTCTAATTGTACAATATTCCCCTCCTTCAATCCTAAGTGTGTCTGAGTCTGTTTCTAAATGCGATCATTTAGAAATAACTTGTGTCTCTTGCTCTGTCATAGAGGAAAGCAGTATTTTCCTAACATATGAATGACTTCAAACTAACAAGGTGATGTTAACGCTGATGGTATGTTATGTCTTTTCTAAATAATGTTCCTTCCATTCTCTCACAATCAAATACTGTTGACTTTAATAAAACTTAGTGCAATTTATTGGTTGGCTTGGTTATGCACAAAAAGGTGCAAAGACGTTAATGGGAGTTGGCAGTAAGGTAACGGATCAGAAGATCAATGTAACTCTGCAGGGAGGAAACTTTTAATTACAAAATGTGAGTTTGTGATGGCGGCTTTGACTTATTGACCACATGTAGAACTTTTTCTACAGAGAAACTAATCCACTAGTGCCTGATGTCTGGGTTTTAAAGTTACCGACCTGATTAAAGAATCTTATTTACAAAATATATTCATTTCAAACTGCCATTGAGGGGTTTTTTTGTAAGAAAATACCTAAATGTGACTGAAAAATGCACCACTTAGATATGTTTAGAGGCAAGTGCATTGGCAAATAACTAAAATGGAAATGCCATCCCTCTCAGGGGATGAACTTTTAATGATTTGCATCCACAGCTGGAATACATAGTATCTTAAGTCTTATTGTTGTCAGAAGATTGAAATTATTGAAACTTGGAATTTGCTCTCTTGACCTTCACAATAAAGTGTACTTCATAATGAGATATGCTCAGTGGGTCAATTTATAACATTCTTTTAGATTTCTAGTGTAGATCAAAATGAATCTTGTGTAGAAATCCAGCCTTGGAAAATTCAAAGGTGAATTTCAAGGATTTTTCGACCTTTCTGAAACTACTGGTGCTCTGGATAAAAGAGGAAGCGTCTAAGGAAATTTATTGAGCACAATATTCCAAATAACTATTTCACTTCTTGGAAATCGTATGCAGCAGAAATTGATAGATACCATACAACCCTAGTATTATTTATATAAACATTATACTTTGCTAGTTGCTGTCTAATGTACATAATATTCCTTTCCATCAGACTTATGGTGGCCGTTCTAACTTGGACAGGTTTCCAAGAACTTGGGACCCAGCCTATGAGTAAGAGAGAAAAGATAGAAAAAGAACTGATCTAGTTTATAGACAAATGTTCAGCCAACTCAGCCTTGAAGCCTTATAAAGCCGAGTATGTAGACCAGGGGTAATCAAACTAAGGCCCGGGAGCTGGATATAGCCCTCCAAGGTCATTTACCCGGCCCTTGCTCAGGGTCAACCTAAGTCTGATACAACTTGAAAGCACACAGCAACAATGGCAACAATCCTATCTCATCAGCCAAAAGCAGATCCACACTTCCCATTGAAATACTAATAAGTTTATATTTGTTAAAATTGTTCTTCGTTTTAATTATTGTATTGTTTTTAAGTGATTTTTGCACTACAAATAAGATATGTGGTGTGCATAGGAATTCATTCATGTTTTTTTCAAATTATAATCCGGCCCTCCAACAGTTTGAGGGACTGTGACCTGGCCCTCTGTGTAAAGTTTGTGGACCCCTGATCTAGTTTATAGACAAATGTTTAGGCAACTCAGCACTGAAGTCTTCTAAAGCCAAGTATGTAGACAATTCCATAATTTGTCAGTGTAAAACATGTTTCAGATCTTACACATTTCTAGCTATTGTCCTGAAATTACTAAGATGTGTGGAATGAAGGTCCTACTTCTAGCTCACATCTCCTGTTTCAGACAACCCTAGGATCAGGACTACTGCCACCACACTTTCAGCCAAACAGTAGTAGTTTGTCTTGTCGAAGGGTTTCATGGCCAGAATCACTGGGTTGTTGTAGGTTTTTTCGGGCTATATGGCCATGTTCTAGAAGCATTCTCTCCTGATCACCTCTCATCTAATCACCTCTCAACAAGGGGACATATAAGTTTGTGCAGTCTTAAAAACTCATTGTCAAAAGCTGGTGTTCACTACAATGAGAAGAATAGGAAATTATTTTAGTCAGGTAAATAAACCCATGCAACAATGTTCTCTTGGCGCCACCATAAATTGGAAACAACTTAAAGGAACATAAGATCATACAGTGACAAAATAACCTTTATTTAAAAAGTAGTATTTCAGAGAAATGTTAAATCCTTAGAAGACAGTTTTGAAAGAGATTGTACACAAAGGCACTGAAATTATGCACTACATGAAGCAGAATCATGAAACAGCTTCCTAAGATGTACAGAGATACTCGCAGGAACACCTCAGCAAGCGAGAGTCCAAAAGTGGCAGGTTAAATCCGAGAACTTCAATCAGTGGCTGATTTCAGATGAGAAACTCCCTCCTGGGAACACAACAGACTGCACTCTGGGACCATGAGATACAGAGCCAGTCTTAAGAAATGAGCCTATAAAGTGGACTCCACGACATGCAAGTGTGGAATAAAGCAAACTACAGACCATCTACTACAATGCAGTCTGAGCCCTGCCACATGCACAATAGAGGACCTTCTTGCAGTGACACAAAAGGCACTTAAAGTGGCCAGCTTCTGGTCAAAGGAAATTTATCATAATTCCAAGTTTTTAACTCTGTGGTTTTTTATACATTGTAATTGTATTCTCAACTTGCTCCTGACATGATAAACAAATGAAGCAGAAAAAATGAATCCAACTCAACTGTTAGAGAAAGTTTGTCACAAAACCACCAATCACTCCAAAATCAGGAAAAGGTATCTTTGTGGTGCTATCCAACACTCTGGTGCTGGTAACTGGAGCCAGGTGCCTGTAATGGTTAAACTTGGAAGTCAATCTTGAAGCCACTCCAGTAGAGCAGAGTTTTGAAGGTGACGTTCCCAAATAGTTCAACTCTTTTTTAGGCCACAGTGCTGTAAGACTCCTTAGAGATGTAGTTCTTTCGTTCAGATACAGGTGGGCCAAAAATGTCCACATCAACCAGGGTGTTCTCTGAAACAAAACAGCAATAAAGTCTGCATTCCTTTGTCGTCTTCCTCACATTATGCAACCAAAAGCTATATACAGGAGACTTCCTGGCAAACTTCAACCCACACAGAACATGCTCAGTTTTCAGCAAAGCTTTTTGATGAAGCTCAGGATTCACTGGAAGATCTCTGGATATCTTAAAACGTGTCTGCAATAGCTTCCAACTTAATACAGTTTAACAAGAAGCATAAAATCGCCTTACTCCTAGATTAGACTGCAAAAATGAAGAATTCCAATGTGAAGGAGGTATGTGGACTAGAAAGGGGGTTTGCACACTTAAATTTTTTATCCAAGTCTTATACACATAAACACAGTTTTCCTCAATGCTACTAGGCTGATGTCTCTCCTAGTGTATATCTAACTTCAGCTGGTGAACATTGAGATTCCAGTGAAACACACACATATATCCCAGAAATCTGAAATCTGCCCTTCAGTCTGTGCTAAGTCCACACATGAGAATATTCACAATACTTACAACCCAGGTAAAAAAATAACAAATTTATATCCTACTATCTACACCAGGGGTCCTCAAACTAAGGCCCGGGGGCCGAATGCGGCCCTCCAAGGTCATTTACCCGGCCCTCGCTTAGGGTCAACCTAACTTTGTAACGACTTGAAAGCACACAACAACAACAATAATCCTATCTCATCAGCCAAAAGCAGGCCCACACTTTCCCTTTGAAATACTAATAAATTTATATTTGTTAAATTGTTCTTCATTTTAATTATTGTATTGTTTTTAAGTGGTTTTTGCACTACAAATAAGATATGTGCAGTATGCATAGGAATTCATTCATAGTTTTTTCAAATTATAATCTGGCCCTCCAACAGTTTGAGGGACTGTGACCTGGCCCTCTGTTTAAAAAGTTTGAGAACCCCTGCTCTACACTATTACCCACCTGTTGAGGCTCGTCCTGCTGTTTTCCTCCTCCTTTGTGTATACTCTGCTGTCCCCTCCTTTCATGTGTACTTACACAACAGAATACATAAAACAGTGTTTCCACTTGACTGTCCATTCAATTGCAGGCACAGCACTTCATTGGCACTGTGCCCAGAAACTTACATTTACTCGTAAAGAGACCTAAGTTTATCTTGCGTTATTTCTAGCTTATGCTGCTTAAACTCTACAAAGTCTATTTATGCACAAAAAAGGTAAAGAAAGAATACAAGTGACAGTCCTGTGGAGGGGTCCTTCTGCTGCAGTATACATCAAAAATTTTATGTATAATGGATGACCGTCCTGTATATACCAATATCTGTGCCAAAAAAATCCCTACATTACAACTAACCCTATAACAGGGTTGTTGCAGTTTTTTTCAGGCTATATGGCCATGTTCTAGAGGTCTATAACAGTTATAACCCTATAACATTTTGCAAACACAGAACTGCTTACCTATTATTCTTCAACCCAATTTTTTCTTCTGAAATGTTTTAAATTTCTCACCCAACGAGCCAAAATGGAAGCTACAGCTGTCACCCGGAAGAAAGTTTCTGAAAAACCCTAAAACAGGTAAGCTGAAGAGGTATCTGTCCAACTTCCTCCAATTCAGTTGATTAAGTGGACCTGAAGCAGACACTCATTAATGGATGAGACATTGCTAGAACACAATATGGTTTCTTTGCTTACCTACTTGGATGACTATGACTGGGCCCCTATTGGTTGTGTATCACAATTCTCCATCACGCCAGCACCAAGGGTATCCACAACAGAGAGAACAGACTCATACAGGCGTTCAGCGTGGCTTTCAAGCTCATCAGATTGTTTTCCAATCAAACGCAGAGTGTCCTGTAGAACTAGCCAGCAAGCACAAATGTCAAAAAGACTGTTTACAACAGCCAAGGAAAACAGCTAGATTACTGTATATATTCAAGTATAAGCCTAGTTTTTCATACAGCTAAAAAAGTTCTCCTAGGCTTATACTCGAGTCAACGTTAGTTATTATTTTACTCTGTTATTAGAAATTACATTTATTATTTTACTCTATTATTATTACCTTTATATTCTTTTTACTGTACTATTATTTTATTACTTTTATTATTTTACTCTATGTATTATTATTACATTTATTATTTTACTCTATTACTGTTATTAAATTTCCATTATTTACTCTATTATTATTATTATTATTACATTTATTATTTTACTCTATTATTATTGGAAGGATACGTAAGCACATTGACATTGAAGATGATTAGAATAATGGTTTCATCAGAGTTGGGTAGTCTTATCTTAAATTACAGTTTTATGTAAATACACAAAAATGTTTAACCTACTGATGATTTTCAGTAGCAGCTGCATTTTTTACCTTCAGCTTATACTTGAGTCAATACATTTTCCAAGTTTCTTGTCATAAAATTAGGTGCCTCGGCTTATATTCGGGTCGGCTTATACTTGAGTATATACGATATATCCGCCCTGAGTCCCCCCTCGGGGGTTGAGAAGGGCGGGGTAGAAATGCGTGAAATAATAAATAAATATCAAAACTATTCTAGACAAGTAGACTTCTAAAGAAGTGGTTCTCAACCTGTGGGTCCCCAGATGTTTTGGCCTTCAACTACCAGAAATCCTAACAGCTGGTAAACTGGCTGGGATTTCTGGGAGTTGGAGCCAAAACACAAGTGAACCCACTGGTCTAAAGGCTATAACTAGGCTGCAAAGGCAGAGCACAGAAATACAAGAATAGCAGTGTTTGTCTCTTGAGACAACAAATGGACAAGGTAGCTTTCCCTAAGAGCTGCTGCAAACCAGCCTCCTGCGGGAGCAAACTGTGCCAGCACGTCCATGACGTCATGAGACTCCGCCCCTCTCTCCTGTGCCAGCGTGGTTTTTCCTTTGCTAGGGCAGCGCCAGCGTACTCTCATTGTTGAATTCTGTCAACAACGAGAGTACGCTGGCAATGCTGCCCTAGCAAAGGAAAAACCACGCTGGCACGGAGAAAGGGGCGGAGAGAGAGGCGGAGTCTCATGACGGCATGGACGTGCTGGCACAGTTTGCTCCCGCAGGAGGCTAGTTTGCGGCGGCTCTAAGAGAGACAGCATGATGTAGTGGTTTGAGTGTTGGATTAGCACTGCCAAATGGTTTGAATCTCTGTTCAGCCTTGAGGCAAGTCACAGCCTCAAGCGGAAGGCAAAAGCAAACTCCTTCTGAACAAAACTAGCCAAGAAAACCCCCCAAAAAGTTCACCTTAGGGTCACTCTAACTCAGAAATGGCGTGAAGGCACACAACACCACCACACCTTTCCTTAAAGTGCATGGAGGCACAGGTTACACTACTGTTTTGGCCAAGAATGGGAACTGTACTGTATAAGAAAACAGCCAGCTTTGGTAAAGGGATGAAAATGACAAAACAATCTGCTGAAAAATAGTATTCAAAGCCCAGTCAGAAGAAAACATGGTTTAGATTTCTACTTAGCTACACGAGATTATTTTGTTTTCGTGTCAGGAGTAACTTGAGAAAATGCAAGTCGCTTCTGGTGTGAGAGAATTGGCTGTCTGCAAGGACGTTGCCCAGGGGACGTTTGGATGTTTTGATGTTTTACCATCCTTGTGAGAGGCTTCTCTTATGTCCCCGTGTGGGGAGCTGGAGCTGACGGAGGGAGCTCATCCACGCTCTCACCGGATTTGGACTTCCGACCTGTCAGTCTTTAGTCCTGCTTGCACAAAAGTTTAATCCATTGCACCACTGGGGGCTCCTACACATAGATTAACCTTTGGTAAGTAATCTACCTCTCTGCTAAACCTGTAGAAATGTAAGTAGTAGCTAGAACAGGAGGGTTGTTTTAATAACAGTTAAGACAAAGCCCTTTAGACATCAGATTGCTATCATGAGATAAAGAACAGAAACTGATTTGCACTAGTTAAAATCCTTAGGTGAAGCATCTAATGCCTAACAACTGGAATGTATTATGTAGAGCAGTGGGTCCCCAGATGTTTTGGCCTACAACTCCCAGAAATCCCAGCCAATTTACCAGCTGTTAGGATTTCTGGGAGTTGAAGGCCATCTGGGGACCCACAGGTTGAGAACCACTGGCACAGAGGATGCTATAGGGATTAGAGCAGTGGTTCTCACCCTTTCTAATGTCACAACCCCTAAATACAGTTCCTCATGTTGTGGTGACCCCAACCATAACATTATTGTTGCTAATTCATAACTATAATTTTGCTACTGTCTCTTTTAAATGGTCTTTTAACTTATGATGATGTTTTAGTTAATAATAACAACAGTAAGTCAAGCTTATGGCAGGTTCTCCCATCCTATCTGCTAATACTACTAATAGTAGTCTTCTGGATTTACTGGAAGGGGTTGGTGGGCATTGACCTTGAGTTTTAGAGTTGTAGTTCACTTACATCCAGAGAGACCTGTGGACTCAAACAATGAGGGATCTTGACCACATTTGATATAAATACTTGATACCCCGAAATTTGAATACTGGTCAGGAGGCATTTTGAGGCAGAGGGAAGAGAGCCGTGCTGCTGCTCTCTTCCCCGTGGTAAAGAGGGTCATCGAGGAAGAGGAAGTCTGAATGGAGGAAGGGGGCGGCCAGGCACAGAGGCCCCAGGGAAGGAAGGAAGGGAGTGAAAAAGGTGAAGGAAGGGAAGAGAAGGAAGAGACAGGCGGATCCGGGGGGGGGGGGTGCCTCCACAGATAAGCCTTTCATGTGCTGAGGGGCCGAGAGGAGGAGGAAGAGAGAGAAGAGGATGAATTGGATGAATCACTGTTTTTGTGCGGCTCTTTTGACGTGGGGCTCCAGATAAGCCAATCAGCCATTGAGGGGGGGGGGAGGCGACGACCCCTCAGAAATGGCTGAACGACCCCTGTGGGGGTCGCAACCCCCAGGTTGAGAAATGCTGGATTAGAGCAAGGATGCGGGACACATGGCCTGCAGAAGTGATTTGGCCCTTGCCTAATTTTGAGGGCTCTGACTGCCCCTCCACCACAGTGGCAGATGATCTCCCACAAGTCTGATTCTGTTTAAAAACAAGGTGCACATGCTTCATGCCAAATTTTAAAGAAAGATTTTTTTTGGGGGGGGGGGGGAGGATCAGGGCATTACCTTCAGAACAAGAGTAAGATGCAGCTACTTGTAGATTGGAGAGGTGAGAATAGGCCTCCCTCAGTGGTTGCCCCCACTCACAATAATTTTCTTAAAGACAAAACAGAGGAAGGGGGAGAAGAAGAAAAGCTTCAGTTCTTGGGAATTAATAGCTAACTGCTACACGTCTACATATTATTTCAAGAACACAGTACACCAATCCCAGGAGCCTGAAGTTTCCCTGCTGTAGTACACTATAGGGGACAAACGCCTTATTTGTACTATTCTGCACTGCTCCATTCAACACAGATAAATGTTTGAATCCATCCCAAGTTAGATTTTGAAAAGAGTAACTTTTCGGAAAACAACCAATCTCGGCAGTCCTTTTTCAAAGCCAAAAATGAAAACTAGGCATTTTCAAGTCTTTCTGAATTTAACCTTTTGTGTCTGAGGGGCAATCTTACCTTCTCACCTTAGAGTAAGTTCTACTGAAGTCAACAGTCTGAATTCTAAGTAGACTTACACAAAACAGAACTGTAAACTAACACACAATTAAAGCAGTTGCCTTCGGTTGGATCACGATCCATATTTGTAAAGCTCCACCAAGTAGAAACCCCAATGTTTCTAGTAATAGTGCACGAGTCCTTAAGTGCTTTAGCTCTTTCAGCATCATAGTTTGTCTCCAGTTGTCCCACACCCCAATCTCTCCTTACCTGGTGAACTTGATGCCATGCATTGGAGAAGCCTTTCCCCATCCTGCAAGACACCTTCTGTCAATGCTTGGTGTTCAGCTAAATCCTTTTTGAACGCCTGCAAAAAAAAGTGATGCTTCTGAGATCCAATACATATAATATTCAAAATGTGAAGAGAATATACGAATGCCCTCCAGATCTTTATGGACAACAATGTCCCCTACTCCTAGCCAGCAGAATCAATGGGGAAGCATCACAGGGACATGTGGAGGTAGGAAGTCCCAAGGTATATGTATGTGTATAGAAAACATGTGTATATCTATATAAATAAAAAATGTAATGTTCGTTTGTGGGATTAGCATAACTCAAAACCACTGGACGAATTGACTCCAAATTTGGACACAATACGCCTAAAAGACCAACGAGTGTCCATCATCCCTAAACACACACACACACACACACACAAAACCCCAGCGGAACAGACTTTAAAAAAGCAAAAAATACACCATATATACATATAAATACACATTCATATGCATATACACATGCACAAATTCATACACACGTGTGTATATGTGTGTGTGTGCACAAAAACACAAATGTACACGTATACATATACACACACATATACACACAAACATGCATATAGACAAGCACACACATATACACAATATGCATGTACACATATAAACACACAAATACACACATATATACACATACATAAACATATATATATATATACACACACAAAACACATATACATGTTTTGTTGTTATTATTGCTTGTATTGTTGTGTTTGGGCTCGGCCTCACCAAGTCCCAAGTCCCTTGGGGAGATGGTAGCGGGGTACAAGTCCCAAGTCCCTTGGGGAGATGGTAGCGGGGTACAAAGTGGTGTTGTTGTTATTATTATTATTACTATTATTATTATACACAGACTGGGATGGCTGGTGTGTATATAAGATTCTGATAGCATAGGGAAAGGTTAACACCCCTGTAGTGTTTGTTTTGCTGTCTATGCCCCTATTCAGAAGATTTCACCTCACTTTCTGTCCCTGTGATGACTGGATTTTGAAAAATGTGGCTTGCTGTGGAAACAAGTATTGGGGATAAAGCTTCAGTGGAGACATCTTTTCCCCATGATAACAACTCTTTCAGGAGTGAATTTCCCTTCCGAGGGGTAGATTTCTCTCACTTCCTGTTGTCCCACATCTGTTCTTAACTATGAGTCATTTGGAAATTGGATGACTGTAACTCGGGAACTGCCTGTACATTTTTTTTTTTAGTTTTTTCTTTCCTTATTGTTCCTTAATATATTTTCATCACATTATTTATACTTATTTCAGTTAGGTGCGGATATTCATAAACCTTTTGTACAAACATTTGTTTTTGTTGGGTTGTTGTAAGTTTTTTGAGCAGTATGGCCATTTTCCAGAAGCATTCTCTCCTGCATCTATGACAGGTATCCTCAAAGGTTGTGAGATTTGTTTTGTTGTGTATTCGTTCAGTCGCTTCCAACTCTTCGTGACCTCATGGACCAGCCCACGCCAGAGCTCCCTGTCGGCTGTCACCACCCCCAGCTCCTTCAGAGTCAAGCCAGTCCCTTCAAGGATGCCATCCATCCATCTTGTCCTTGGTCGGCCCCTCTTCCTTTTTCCTTCCACTTTCCCCAGCATAATTGTCTTCTCTAAGCTTTCCTGTCTCCTCATGATGTGGTCAAAGTACTTCATCTTGGCCTCTATCCTTCCCTCCAGTGAGCAGTCGGGCTTTATTTCCTGAAGTATGGACTGGTTGGATCTTCTCGGGGTACAAGGCACTCTTGGGATTTTCCTCCAGCACGACAGTTCAAAAGCATCTATCTTCCTTTGCTCAGCCTTCCCTGTGGTCCAGCTCTTGCATTCATAGGTTACTACAGGGAATACCATTGCTTTGACCATGCAGACCTTCAATGCTAGTGTGATGTCTATACTCTTCACTATTTTATCAAGAGTCAAACATCTGTAGATCCTATTATTAGTATTTACACTTATTTTCTTTAGTTTTAAACAGTTCTTGTTCCTTTCCGTTAATTCTCTTGTTTCCTAATATTCTCACTCCTATCATATCTAAATTTACTTGTATAGGTATTTTAAATATTCTTTCCATCATTTTTGTTTTCATTTCCCAGTATGTGGTTACTTTCGAACATTCCCACCACATATGTGACTACCATCCCTTATTCTTTCCACAGTGTCAGCACATTGGGCTTACTCCTGTTATCATATAGGATAATTGGGTTGGAGTCCTATACCATTTTTGGATAAATTTCCTTTCTAGTTTTTTTGTATTTCTCCATTTTGATTTCCTTCATCCCCTTCATTATATCTTGTATTCTTTGATTCATAAGTGGCCATTTATTTAGTGTTGTTCTTACCATATAGTCATTGTCCTTCACCACCAATTTGTATATTGCTCCTGTTAACCCTTTTTTAATTTTTCCATTCTTTTAAGGATTTCTAACCTTAAAATAACTCACGTGGACTGCAATCCAATACACTCTTCCTTGTGGAAAAGGTCCTTTGAAGCCATCTTCTGAGTTTAGAACTGAACTGCAAAGCTTTATCCAAAAACCCTCCACTTTTTCACATCCCACTGAGGAGCCAGAGCAACTCTTCTAAGTTCACTTTCCTCAAAACAGGGTAAAGGACAAAGAGCAGCAGCATCACAGTTTTTTTTTTTGGTTTTTTTTTTTTTGCTACTGGTTCATACACTGGTTGACAATTTTAATAAAGTACATGTCATAGGCAGCATAAATAAAAATAAATGCTTGCCATATTTTAGAAGATTGGCCTGCTCTCATAAAGAAAGCAAAATTGCTTCAGCAATCCCTGTTTTTATTGTCTGAACACCCGAAACGACAGAAGCTTTGCAAAAGAATGAGAATAAGGTACAAATGTAGACCTTAAGGACAAAGGAACCTATCACACTGTTTCACAGCTATAGAACTATGGTTCCACTTGATTGCCATAGCTGCATCTTAAGGAATATTGGCGATTGTGGCTTCGGTACAGCACTTAAGCTCGCTGCCTAAGAAATATCCCATTTCTAAACTGCAAACCACAGGATCCCAGGATGTTGGTGTAGCCTTTAAAATGGAATAACTGTGCTGTAAATGCGTAGTGTGAAAGAAGATGTAGACTAGGAGATTCTGAAAGCTGAAGTCCAAAAAGGAACAGCTTTGAAAGCTGATATCTGTGTAGATGACCACTGACAGAAACACACGTCTGTGCTGATAGGTTAGGGACATCCCATGAAGGATGGGGGCTTTTTCTATACATCCTAGTTCTCCTTCGTGCCTTTGAGCAAACAGGCCTCTTTCCTCCAAAATAATGGAGATTGAAAGGGCTGGATTTGACCCAAGCAGCCTCAAAGCAGACCACAACTAATGCCATCCCCCCAATAGCTGTGAAGACCTAGAATCATATGGTTGGAAGAGACCACATGGGTTATGTAGTCCAACCCCCTCCCATGCAGGAAAAACACAACCAAAGTACCCCTGACAGATGGCAATCCAGCCTCTGTTTAAAAGCTTCCAAGGAAGGAGCTTCCACCACACTCCAAGGTAGAGAGTTCCACTACTGAACAGCTGTTACAATCTGGAAGTTCTTCCCAATGTTCAGGTGGAATCTCCTAATCAAGGGTCAGTCATGCTGTTATAAATGACAAATAAACAAACTTTCAGCACCAATGCATTGAAAATGGGAGGAGATAATTACCAGGTAGTTCTGGAGTGCTGCCTTAACACTTTTAACATCTGGCTTGGGAGGAATCCAATTGTCTGTAACATCTGCTACTTTGTGCAGCCAACAAATGAGCTCTTCTAGCTGGCCGCAGAACATCTACTTGGGTGAATCAAAAGAAAGTTATCCATTAGAGCCAGAAGAAATTGTAACATTGTTTTATTATCACATTTTTATCCTCCTGTTAAAGCAAGTAAGTGCAGCTGACAAACTCATAAAAACAATTACATATTTATTGTTAGTAAAAATCGTATAATTATGCACAATATGAAAAGCCAACTTGAAATGATTTTTCAGACTTTTTGTAAAACAGAAAGAAGAACTTTAAACGATTTGATATAACTCCCAAGATTGTCCGTAATTATCTAGCCATAAAGCGAGATATAGTAAAAAGTTAGAATGTTTGCAAGAAGCTGGAGAATGGTAACAAATTGTAAAAGTGTGTTTTTTAACAGCCCTTCACCCATTCTGTGGCCAAATAACCATTGCACAAGGTAAGCACCACTGCATTATACCTCACAGTGATAGTTTACTTCCTACACCAATATTACTTATGCCTTCTGTGTTATTTTTTCACTTCATGGAAATGCAGAACACTAAATTTCCCCCAAATAAATGGTACACAGAAAATATTTTCTGCTAGGTATTACCTGCCAACATACAACTTGAAGGCACATACACAGAAATATCACCTCAGATCACATTGTATAAAACGTTCAAATAATTAATCCAAGCGCTAATCCAACCGATGTCCATATACCTTCACAGAATCCCACCCTTTCCATAATGCATTTGAAAATCTTTTTTACTGGTTTGAAAGTGTTATTTCCTGTTTAGTTGTATGGCCCTTACTTTGAAAGTAGTTGTTATACTCCAGAAACTTTGTTTTTGTGGCTGCCACAAAATATATGGAATTGGTTGAGACTCAATGAGATATTCATTGAAAAACTATATCAAAAAGTGCTGTAGGATGTCCCGCAAAAACAAAGTTTTCGCAATTTAATAAACTTTCCCCATGTTTTTTATGATAGAACCAATTAGGAAATGATACCTATAAATTCAGGGACAAAAATCGTATTACATAGGGTGGACCTAGACAGCCCCTTTATTGTGGAAACTTCAGCAATAAAAAATGGGCTGTCCAGATGACATTTTGGACAATCCCTAATTAATTTTCCACAAACCAGGAAAACCCTGGCTTGTGGTGAATTATTTAGATAATGTGTTTATTCCACACCTTCTTAGAACACGCGAATAAAACCACTACTTCTGGTGTCTGGACTACAGTCCAGACACTATTCCCACAGTTTTCTGGACTAAATTAGTCCGGAAAACTGTGGGGATCCCACCCCCTCCCCTAAAACCCTTTAAAAAGCAAAACAAATGTACTTGGCCTCCATTACAGTGTTGCCGGAGCTCTCGCGGCACGTAGAAATGATGCACCAGAAGAGGGGAGGGAGGGAAGGAGAAAAATCGCTCCCTCTCCTCGCATCACTTCTACACATCGGGAGAGCTCTGGCAACACTGTAATGGAGGCCGGGTAAGTTTATTTTACTGTTAAAAGGGCGTTGGGAGCTTTGGGGGAGGGGGACTGCAGATGTTCTGCCGGGCCAGTCCTGGAAAAACATCTGGGCACCCACCCCAGAAAGCACACGTTTTTCTGGGGTGAGTGTAGATAGGCCCCCAGGAACATTCGCATTTTTGGTCCTGGGATAACAGCCTGTCTGGAAAGGCCCGTAGTGTAATCCAAGAAGGAAATGTTTCCATCCCAAAAATAAAGACTCCCAGCTGTCACTGTCCCAATCAAAGTAAGTTTTCCAAGCTCTGGGAGGAATGTATGCTGCCTCACGGAGAAGATGGGATATATTAATATAATTAATAAAAGTAGACAGAAATATCTGCTAAGGATATATAGCAGTGGTTCTCAACCTGTGGCTTTCAACTCCCAGAAATCCTAACAGCTGGTAAACTGGCTGGGATTTCTGGGAGTTGTAGGCCAAAACACCTGGGGACCTACAGATTGAGAACCACTTATATATAGCCTTTGTTGAACGGGTATGCCAAGGAAAAGGGACTAGAGATCACTTATATTCTCCACATATTTTAGCATGGGTTCATTCCAAAAAAGCCCTTCAAAAGCTACCATTCTCCTTTTACTCAGAGCAAATCCTATGGAGCCCAGTAGGACTTATTTCCAAATCAATATGCACCCTTTCCTTGAGGGCTGACAGCTGAAGCACCATATGAAACATCAGACACAAACAAGAAGTCATTTAGATTTGCATTGGGATTTATTTACCTTGATGTGGTCTGTAAGAGAGCTTCCATTCTTTACCTCCTTGCCCTGATTACTTCCACTATTTTGGAACTCTAGTCTTCCTATTTCAATGGGATCACTGCTTGCAGCCTTTCTTGGCACATTTTCAGGTTGACGGCTCAGAAAGTCTTCTTCACCATGTTTGTGAAAGCTACCAGGAGAATCACAATAAAATTCACATTGGCTCTCATTACTGCCGCCGTCGGCCTGAACCTCTGATAGAACTTGCCTTCCGTTCACACTGATGCCTGGGAAACCATCATGCGCAGAGTCATATTCCGGTCTCCTTATAGTCAGTGACAGATCAGTCAACTGCAGAGCCAAGGTCTCTAACTCCTTGAGTCTGGGGGGTAAGGAGAGATATTCATCGTCACCGGAGCACTCTTTTCTTAAGGGCAGCACCCTTGTCGAGCGTATGAAGCTGCTATGAGTGGTAGTCATCCTGTTGAGATTGTCATCTCCCCTTGCGTTCCACACATTTTCATCTCGGTTGGCTGAACTGGACGGAGCATGTTCATAGCACGATGGAGACAAACCATCCACATTCTCATAAGAAATGCTCCTTTCTGCATCTCCAAAGGACACTTTCCCAATGGGTGAAATATTGTAATGAGAAACTGGATCTGAACCTTCAAGTTTTTTCAAAAACGGGGTCAAAAATCTCTGTGTACTCTGAGTCCCCAGAACCAGAGGTTTCTGGTCATGCATGCTCACAGATTTCAGGGTGCTTTCAGGGGAAATGGAGAAGCTGTCAAGATCAACTCCAGAATCATGGACAGCGGAGTCTTGGATGTTCTGTGCAAGCTTGTATTTTGGCCGTAAAGGGTAGGTATAATCGAGCAAGTCCTCGTATTCTTTGTTGGGGTTCCAGTGAGGGGATTGACGGTCCGGTGATGGTGGTAAGGAATCTGGTATTGCACATGCCCAGTAATCAGCCTGGAAAGAGGACATCTTTCTCACTTGGCCCATCAATGAGCAAGTAACCATAGGTGATTGCCTGCATGTGCTCAGCCTGGGGGTTCCTTCATGATCAGACAGAGGGTGCAGATTTGAAGAAGTGGGCATCTCGGGCAACAAAAGAGCCCCTGCTGCTGAAAACCTTTTTGATCTTATCATTTTCTCCAGTCCAAAATCAGATACTTCTGGCGGTTGTGAGGAAATGTTGGTTCCTGATAGCAAGGGTGTGGCATTATTAAAATTTGGGTTTTCTTTACCTAGCAAATGTTTTGGAGTGGATGAATTAGTGGTAAACCACATCTGGTTCCCATCAAAGCTGTGAAAGGCTCTGGTGGCAGAGTTGTAGCGAGCAGAAGCCACAGATCTGGGTGGGAGAATTCCTGGCAAATCCAGCAAACTAGCCTCTGAGTGCTTGACTGTAGTCATCTGTGAAAGCCATTTAGAAAAGGAGAAACAGATTAAAAGACCAGCTTTTGTTTATTTTCAAGACAATGTATTAAATTCAGAATAGTTGAATTGTTCTCACAGGTTATTTACACGAATCCTGTTCCATTTGCTTGTGTTACAGGACATACTTTACTTCAATTTAAGTAAGTAAGGTTATAGATTATTCTGTAGATTTAGACTACTGCAACGCTCTCTACATGGGGCTGCCTTCGAAGACTTCTTGGAAGCTTCAATTAGTCCAACGGTCGGCAGCCAGGCTGCTCACCGAAGCGGCGTACAGGGAAAGTACTACTCCTTTGTTACGCCAGCTCCACTGGCTGCCGATCAGCTTCCGAGCACAATTCAAAGTGCTGGTTCTAACCTTTAAAGCCCTAAAGGGTTCTGGCCCAAATTACCTGTCCGAACGTATCTCCTATTACGAACCATCACGAAGCTTAAGATCATCAGAGGAGGCCCTGCTTTCAATCCCACCACTCCCACAAACGCGGTTGGTGGGGATGAGGGACAGGGCCTTCTCGGCAGTGGCCCCCCCATCTGTGGAATTCCCTCCCTAAAGACATCTGGATGGCCACCTCCCTCCTGTCCTTTAGAAGACAACTGAAGACTTGGCTGTGGGACCCAATGTTCATCTAAAAGATAGCGACAATTGGAAGCAAAGTGAGGACATACGCGATATTGGATTTACCCGACTTGGTCTTGGTTTTAACTGGCATCTTAATCTATTGTTAAATGATCTGTATAATGTGTTTTAATTTTTTTTACTGTTTTAATTGTAACTTTTGTTGTTTATATGTTGACAGCATCACATGATGTTTATGTGAGGCCACCCTGAGTCCTCCTTTGGGGGGAGAAGGGCGGGGTGGAAATACATGTAATAAATAATATATAAACAACAGTGCAGTAGCTCTCAAAGTGTGCTTTGCAGAGCCCTTGGGGCTCTCCGAAGCACATTGAGGTGCTCTGCAGTTTCCTCCTTCTCCTCTAAGCGTTCCCTTCTCTTTCCTGCTCCTCACCCTCACGACTCCTCCCTTGCCGACAAAATATGTTTTTTCCTCACCTTCCTCACTACCCAGATCCTTTCCACCTCACCTTGCTTGCTTCCAAAACCCTATTTCCCTCCCACCGCTCAGGATTGTGTTTTTCCTGCATGGCAATAGAAGGTTGGACTGGATGGTCCCTGGAATCTTAAGTTTATATTAGTCAAAAAGTTTGCCCATGCCTGCTATGTATACATTATATATAATATAATGTAAATATATAATATAATATAATATATAAACATTTCTTGGGACTCCACAAGAAACTTTTGCTTCAAAAAAGGCTCCGCAGCTGAAAAAGTTTGAGAAGCTTGGCTCTAGTGTATGGCTCATGCATGTTAAATACGCCAATAACACTACTGGACCACCTCAGACCACATTTACTCAAATTATGTGAAAACCATCTATAATTTTCTCCCCAACTTTGTAAATGTTATTTTTTTACAAAGGTAATGCTGTTGTTGTGTGCCATCAAGCCATTTCTGAACTTACAGTGACCCTAAGGAATATCGCTGCTCCTAGCACTGTAGCAAATAATTGGTAACCGTTTCACATATTTCACTTGCAAAACCTGTTAGATGGCATGAAAGATACGTTAAGATGTTCTGACTGTTTTCTAAAAAGCCAGAAACTACGTGACTAGTTTGCTCTGCAGCTCTGCATTCTCCACCCTCCATCTTTCTCATCCAAGTGCCAGTGAACCCTATTAAGCAACCCAGTTTCTTAATCTCTAGATCCACCTACCATAGTACTTCAGTGTTGTCCTCAGAAAAACATCAAAATAAGATTTTTCTACTTCCAAAGCCATCTGCAAAGCAGATTTCTTTTCACTTAGTGGACAAAATGTGGAATCTGAAATAAAAAGACCAAAAAGGACAGTCAGTTTGATCATTCTTTGCATTCTAACACTGAGGCTGCAATCTTATATACTCTGGGAATAAACATGTATAGGAGGAACTTATACATCTAGGATCCCATAGATGTTCATTTTAACTGCAACCATACAATTTTGATGCAACTTACTCTTAGGTAGCAAATATAAACTATCTTCAAAAATTATAGTAATTTAAATTCTGAATTAGAACAAAAGCAGTTTCAAACATCTAAACAACAGGATCCAGGTTAAAATACTATAAAAAGGATTTTTAAAAGTGTTTTTTAAAAAACTAATCCTTACTAAATAATGTCTTAGTTTAAATGAGGTCTTGGTACAAAACAAAATGTTATGTTTCTACATCACTTGGAATTGAACAATGATCATTAATGGACTGCCGTATGCAGAAAACTAGCCTTTATCAATTTATTTGATGTATTTATATACCTTCTTTCTTAGCCCGCAGGTGACTCAAGGTGGTTTATCAAGCAAGCCAGACTCATCAGGAAGGTATTTGAATGACACAATGTCTTTATTATTGTAGACTTTCTATTGCTCAGTTTGGATTTTGTTAGAAACTTACCAAATAATATTTTCTGAATCACTATACAAATTCACATGCAATAATCTTTTAAGTTTTCACTTTTGCGGAATTTGATGACAAAAATGTTTACGAAATGCACTTATTGGAAGAGAATTTGAACAAAAATGTATGTGTTAGTGCAAAGTAGAAAAAAAACACCTAAGTTAAATCTGCTCACAAAATTCACTCATATGGGCAACGTCTTTGTAGACGGCTGATTCTCTCACTCCAGAAGCGATGAGAAGTGACTTGCAGCATGCAAACAAGCAAGCAAAACAACCAACGGACCTTTTTACATTTAATCAACTACCAAGCTTGCAAACTTTGTGTTTTGTTTGTCTGTTTGTTTGTTAAAAAATGCAATGCAAATGTCTGGTCTGCCCCTGACACGATAAATAAAATAAATACTCATATTAGGTGGTAAAGGCACTTGCTGGAACACCCCAGCAAGCAAGAGTCCAAAAGTGGCAGGCTCAAACCCAGAACCTCAACCAATGGCTGATACCAAATGAGAGACTCCCCCCTGGGCACACAGAGGACTGGGTGACTTGGAAGGCGCTGAACAGACTGCGCTCTGGCACCACAAGATGCAGAGCCAACCTCAGAAATGGGGCTACAAAGTGGAATCCACGACATGCGAGTGTGGAGAAGAGCAAACTACAGATCACCTGCTGCAATGCAACCTGAGCCCTGCCACATGCACAATGGAGGACCTTCTTGCGGCAACACCAGAGGCACTCCAAGTGGCCAGATACTGGTCAAAGGACATTTAATCAACTACCAAGCTTGCAAATTCTGTGTTTTGTCTGTTTTTGTTAAAAATGTAATACAAATGTCTGGTTGCTGTTGACACGATAAATAAATAAATAGGAGGTAAAGGCAAAGGTCTTGACGTTAAGTCTAATTGTGTCCGACTCTGGGGGGGTGGTGCTCATCTCTATTTCTAAACCAAAGAGCTGGCGTTGTCCACAAACATCCCATGGATTTGATCTGTCAACCTTCCAGTCAGCTAGTTCTGCAGCATATAAAACTTTAGCTCAAAATTTATGAACCATAGTCAGTACTTAGTCATATCTTAGTATGATATATTAGTTTCAATGCAGTTTAGTGTTGAGTTTTAATTGCTGTCAATTGTATATTTCTTGTATCTTCTACGTTTAAATATTTAGTACTTTGGCTGCACTGTTTTGTATTCCTATTCTGTTTAAAATTTGATAAAAAGTATAATATGAAAAAAGGAACAGGAGAAAAGAGAAACAGGGACTTTTATTGGGACTTTTAGACAAGCAAATAACGAAACATCAAGAAAGAATCTTCCAGTACATGACTACAGCAGCAAGAATTGAATATGCAAAACTATGGAAGTAACAAGAACACCAACGCGAGATGAACAAATTACATTTTTTTTAAATGGCTGAAATTGACTAATTAACTTTTAACTCTACAACAAGATAATACACAAAACTACAAGCAGAATGGAAACTTTTAATTGATTTTATATATATATATAAAAAGAAGATGACTGCAATAGGGTTTGTGAGCTAAAAGTATTATGAAATCATACATGTGTATAAACTATATAACTTGTGTATCTAAGAGCAAACAAAATGTTTTAGAAAACTGATAAGTTATTGAGCTAATATCCAACCCCCACACTCAAGGTGTTTCTCAGATTTTTTTTTTTCCATTTCCTCCCAGTTAGGGCTGGAACATCTGGATCCTTTCCTTCCTCCCTTCTGCAACTCCCTATTGTATTCTCCCAAGATAGGAAAGCCTTTCTTCTAAACAATTCCTCCCAGCAAAGCTCCCAAAGAAAGGAAAGGGGATACAGGCAAGACAAAAGGGAAGTCCAAAGTGAAGCACCACCTTATCGAAACTCATGGGATCAATACACACATGCATAATTAATTGTGAGTTGTTTCCTGACATCAGTGAGAATTCACTAAATGGAGGAAATTTCAACTGACAATCACAGTACATCTCTTCTGCTATGTTGCATCATAGTTTACTGAAAAATAAAAAATAAAGTTATTATTATAATATATGGAGCCCCTGGTGGCATAGTGGGTTAAACCACTGAGCTGCTGAACTTGCTGATTGAAAGGTCGCAGGTTCGAATCCAGGGAGTGGCGTGAGCTCCCGCTGTTAGCCCCAGCTTCTGCCAACCTAGCAGTTCAAACATGCAAATGTGAGTAGATCAATAGGTACCGCTCCTGGAAGGTAACTCCATGCAGTCATGCTGGCCACATGACCTTGGAGGAGTCTACGGACAATGCCGGCTCTTCGGCTTAGAAATGGAGATGAGCACCAATCTTCAGAGTCGGACATGACTAATGTCAGGGGAAAATCTTTACTTTTACTTAAGTTATATAATCTGGAACAAAAAGGATGGTGGAAACAATGGAAGAAATTAACAGATCTGTTGGGATCTTCCCTGTATAGTTTTTGCTTGTTTACAACTATATAAACATTTTAAAACTCAAATAAAGTGAGTTGTTTACAAATGTTGAAGAGTCAGTGTCACCGAATGCTTACGTTGTATAACTATGTCTGCATGGATGCTGCAAGGGAAGGTGGTTTTGAGAGACCACAATGTTCTACCCTGGCGCTTATATATGATTTTGCTAAGCAACAGGCAAGCACAGTAGTTATGTAAGCACACTGCACTCCTAGTCTCACAAAGCATAGAAGAAAATTAAATGCTTCATAAATTTTATAGTGCTTGCACAATAAGCACATTCTCCAGTCCCCAAAGATTGAAAGGGCCACCAGGGCTCAGTAAACAGCGATCCCTGCTAATTGCTGATAATGCAAAAAAGTAAATATACAGTAGATTCTCAGTTAACCAGAAGTCAAGCAATCGGAACTCGCAAGCAGCCAACAAAAATTGTATAATTAATACTTTCGATTTTAAAACAGTGTTACATTATATTAAGTGTCCTTTCTTTGTCAGAATTTGCTTTTAATTTCAATATTAATATTTCAATATTATTATTAATATTTCAATAATATTATTTAAAATAGTATTTCAATATTAATATCAATACAGAATTTATGGTATGGTATATTATTATTACTATTTTTAATAATAATTCTCAAGCACCCAGAAACTACAATTTTCTGGCATCTACCTATCCCCTATGGGTGCCGGTTAACTGAAGGCCCTTCCACATAGCAAGATAACCCACAATATAATCCACAATATCTGTTTTGAACTGGGTCATCTGAGTCTACACTGCCATATAATCCAATTCAAAGTGGATTTTATACAGCAGTGTGGAAGGGGCCTGAGTCTACTGTATAAACAGTCACATCACACAATTCACATTGAAGGAACTTGAAAATTGGTCCAGGCTGCGCACAGTCTTTTTCTAGATGGTTGCCTTACGGCACAACAACTGAATATTTGTTTCTCCATCAATGCAGGAGATTCAAGATATTTCCTTCTGCTGGGAGGAAAGAGGCCCTTATGTTATCAGTACTCCCCAATATTTGACTATCGGGTTTCCTGTTCACGATTCATGCAACAAGAAAGAACCAAGATGTCGGAGTAAGTTCATATATAACAAGTCCGCTGACTAGTACCCAGGATATCACTGATGGCATATGATGTACTACTTTAGCCCTACTACAAGGGGCTCTTGTAGCACATTACACCTCTTCTACACTGCCATAAAATCCAGGTGACGAAAGCAGATAATGCACATTATCGGCTTTGAACTGGATTATATGAATCTACACTGCCTTATAATCCAGTTCAAAACCGATAATCTGGATTTTATATGGCAGTGTAGATGGGGCCCAACTGAGAGCACAGAGTTGGTAGCATAATTGCCTCCATATCAATCCCACACTCCCCTGATATCAAAGCCACAGTTGCTACTACTCATTTCTCAAGGGGAGCAGCTGGGACCCTAAATGGAGAATCATAGCATCTCGTCTGCAAAATGTTTGCGACCACAAATGTTTGGGATTTTAGAAATTCTGTATTTGCACTGAGGACCCATGTCTAAACACGAAATTCATAGCCTGAAGGTAATCTTATGCGCATTTTAAATAGTTTTGCACATGAAACAATGTTTGCATACGCTGAATCCAGAAAGCAAAAGTGTCCCTTATCAAAGCCACCGATAGGGACAGTTTCGGGTTTTGGGATTCCAGATAAAGAACGTCCAACCTGAATTTCTGTAGTTCTACCTCACCTTTATTCAGAACCTGGCCTATTCATGTAAACATGTTGCATGACCAAAATGGCATCCACGATATAGAACAACGTTGCACAATACGTCAAAACATTACTGCATCTCAACATTTTAAAAAACCTGGCCAATTTGTTTTTTGTCAACATGGCATAATGTCATCATAAACTCAGCACCAACTGCTATCTCTATGGCA